CGGTGTCGGTGTCGAGTTAAAACTCCATCCGTGCGTCCCTGGGTCGACGCACTCTTTTTTATAATTTGAAAGAATATCGGGGATCTTTCTGTGTATTGTTTTTGATGCAGTCTGAAAGAATCTCGGCAACCCCTTGTGTCTGATTTTTGAAGTAGTTTGAAAGAATCTTGCGGATCCTTCGTCATGTTTTTGAAGTCCAACACCTTATATAACATTTTTAAAAGAACTTAAGCTGAAGCTTTTAAACCACTTCAAAAACCAGATACAAAGAGTCCCCGAGATTCTTTGTTTATGTTTCAGCATTGACATAATCATGATGGTTTATTGGGATTTTCTAATGGCCGCCTTAATGGAGCTCCATCCATCTTGGCTTTCACTGCGTCCGCAATATTCCACCAAATAACGTTAAAAGTACGTCGGGATTAAACCCCGCAAAACACTTTCCAAAAAACGTGATTTACGTACTCAAATTCACTATCGAGCGGGGAGTGTTGTGGTGGCCAAGATACGGAACGAGCTTCCAAACAAGCTCCAGCGTTTCATTCATAAGTGTCGCAATTACGCCTCTCCTGATATTCAGTCCCTGAGATTCTTTCAAACCACTTCAAAAACAAAACAAAAGGAGTCTCCAAGATCAGAACACAACTCATTTTAGTCAAATCAATAGTATTGTCTAACTTAAATTATTGTACTCAAGTCTATTGTCCTTGTCTGTCAGTTTGAATGATCTCAGGGACTCCCTTTTTTGTTTTTGAAGTAGTTTGAATTAATCTCAGAGACTCTTTGTGTCTGAATTTTGAAGTACATAGATTGAAAGAATCTTGGGGACTCATTGTGTCTGGTTTTTTAAGTTTGAAAGAATCTCGGTGACCCCTTTTCTTGTGTTTTTGAAGTAGATTGACACAATCTCGGATACCCCTTTTTTGTTTTTGAAGTAGTTTGGAAGAATCTTGGGGACTTTTTGTGTTTTGATTTGATGTAGTTTGAAAGAATTTCAGGGACCCTTGTTTTGTTTTCGAAGTAGTTTGAAAGAGTCTTGAGAATCCCATGTGTTTTGTTTTTGAAGTAGTTTGAAAGAATCTAGGAGACCATTTGCATGGATATCTACTTTAATTTTTTAAAGGTTCTAAAGGTTTCTAAGGTTCGCCTTTAAAGTACCCTATAGATTTCATGTAATTCCTATTCCTTAATTTAATGATAACAAATTCCTGAAAATTGAGGGTAGAGAGTATCTTGTTAACATAAAAAAAAATCTTCAACCTACCTAGATAATAGATTTAAGTAAGAAAAAACCAACACAACCTAAATTTATGTACTAAAAACACGTTTTCTGCATCTGTTCACAAAACTAGCACATTTGAAGGTTGTTCACTATACAAGTTTATAAATAAGTACATTAATTTTTTTGAATTACTTGATTTAATTCTTTAAAAAAAAATCTATTTAATTCAATGTTAGACGATCAAAAGTCATAAAATATATGAGTAACATTTTGTTATATCAGTATTCGCTGCAGTTTTTCATGCCATTTTCAGGTGGTCCTAAGAATCGGCAATGCCAAGGACCAACCTTTAGGGGCAATAGTTTTAGTTTTCGCAATTTGCAACTGAGTTTGCTTTAATGCCTTCTAATGAAGTTTATTATATTTATTATAAAGTAGTTTAAAAGAATCTCAGAGACCCTTTGTGTTTGGTTTTTGAAGTAGTTTGAAAGAATGTCGGAGATCCATTGTGTCTGGTTTTTAAGGTAGTTTAAAAGAATCTTGGGGATCCTTTTTGTTTTGTTTTTGAAGTAGTTTGAAAGAATCTCGGGGTTTCTTTTTTTTTGAAGTGGTTTTAAAGAATGACGGGGCTCCTTTTGTTTTGTTTTTGAAGTAGTATGAAAGAAACTTGGGGACTTCTTGTGTCTGGTTTTTGAGGTAGTTTGAAAGAATCTCGGAGACCCTTTTTGTTTTGTTTTTAAAGTTGTTTAAACAAATCTCGGGGGCTCTTTTTTGGTTTTTGAAGTGGTTTGAAAGAATCCCGGGGCTCATTTTGTTTTGTTTTTGAAGTAGTTTGAAAGAATCTCGCGGGCTTCTTGTGTCTGGTTTTTGAGCTACTTTAAAAGTCTCGGGGACTCTTTATGTTTTGTTTTTGAAGAGGTTTGAAAGAATCTCGGGGCTACGTTTGTTTTGTTTTTGAAGTCGTTTGAAACAATCTTGGGGACTTCGTATGTCTGTTTTCAAGGACTCCTATTTTTGTTTTTGAAGTAATTTGAAAGAATCTTGGGGCTACTTTTGTTTTATTTTTGAAGTAGTATGAAAGAATCTTGGGGACTTCTTGTGTCTGGTTTTTGAAGTAGTTTAAAAGAATCTCAACTACTCCTTGTGTTTGGTTTTTGGAGTTCTTTGAAAGAATCTGGGGGGGCTCCTATTTTTGTTTATGTAGTAGTTTGAAAGAATCTCGGGGCTCCTTGTGTTTTGTTTTTGAAGAGGTTTGAAAGAATCTCGGGGCTTCTTTTGTTTTGTTTTTGAAGAGGTTTTAAAGAATCTCGGGGCTCCTTTTGTTTTGTTTTTGAAGAGGTTTGAAAGAATCTCGGGGCTCCTTTCGGTTTTTTTTTTGAAGAAGCTTGAAGGAATCTCGGGGCTCTTTCTGTTTCGTTTTTGAAGAGGTTTTAAAGAATCTCGGGGCTCCTTTTGTTTTATTTTTGAAGAGGTTTGAAAGAATCTCGGAGCTCCTTTTGTTTTGTTTTTGAAGAGGTTTGAAAGAATCACGGGGCTCCTTTTGTTTTGTTTTTGAAGAGGTTTGAAAGAATCTCGGGGCTTCTTTTTATTTTGTTTTTGCAGAGATTTGAAAGAATCTCGGGGTTCCATTTTTTTTGTTTTTGAAGAGGTTTTAAAGAATCTCGGGACTGCGTTTATTTTTTTTTTTTTGAAGAGGTTTTAAAGAATCTCGGGGTGCTTTTGTTTTGTTTTTGAAGAGGTTTTAAAGAATCTCGGGGATGCTTTTATTTAGTTTTTGAAGAGATTTGAAAGAATCTCGGGGCTCCGTTTGTCTTGTTTTTGAAGAGGTTTTAAAGAATCTCGGGGCTCCGTTTGCTTTTTTTTTTTAATGAAGAGGTTTTAAAGAGTCTCTGGGTGCTTTTGTTTTGTTTTTGAAGAGGTTTTAAAGAATCTCGGGGCTCCTTTTGTTTTGTTTTTGAGAAGGTTTGAAAAAATCTCAGGGGCCGCTTTTGTTTTGTTTTTGAAGTAGTTTGAAAGAATCGCCGTAACCTATTTTGTTTTGTTTAAAATAGTTTGAAAGAATCTCGGGGCTCCTTGTGTTTTGTTTTTGAAGAGGTTTTAAAGAATCTCGGGGCTGCTTTTGTTTTGTTTTTGAAGAGGTTTGAAAGAATCTCGGGGCTCCTTTTGTTTCGTTTTTGAAGAGGTTTGAAAGAATCACGGGGCTCCTTTTGTTTTGTTTTTGAAGAGGTTTGAAAGAATCTCGGGGCTTCTTTTTATTTTGTTTTTGAAGAGATTTGAAAGAATCTCGGGGCTCCATTTGTCTTGTTTTTGAAGAAGTTTTAAAGAATCTCGGGGCTCCGTTTGCTTTTTTTTTGAAGAGGTTTTAAAGAATCTCGGGGTGCTTTTGTTTTGTTTTTGAAGAGGTTTTAAAGAATCTCGGAGTTCCTTTTGTTTTGTTTTTGAAAAGGTTTGAAAAAATGTCAGGGGCCGCTTTTGTTTTGTTTTTGAAGTAGTTTGAAAGAATCGCCGTAACCTGTTTTGTTTTGTTTAAAATAGTTTGAAAGAATCTCAAGGCTCCTTGTGTTTTGTTTTTGAAGAGGTTTGAAAGAATCTCGGGGCTCCCTTTGTTTTCGTTTTGAAGAGGTTTGAAAGAATCTCGGGGCTCCTTGTGTTTTGTTTTTGAAGAGGTTTTAAAGAATTTCGGGGTGCTTTTGTTTTGTTTTTGAAGAGGTTTTAAAGAATCTCGGAGTTCCTTTTGTTTTGTTTTTGAAAAGGTTTGAAAAAATCTCAGGGGCCGCTTTTGTTTTGTTTTTGAAGTAGTTTGAAAGAATCGCCGTGACCTATTTTGTTTTGTTTAAAATAGTTTGAAAAAATCTGCGGGATACTTTGTGTCTGGTTTTGAAAGTAGTTAGAATGAATCTCAGAAACTCCTTGTATCTGATTTTTGAAGTAGTTTAAAAGATTCTCAGGGACCCCTTTTGTTTTTGAAGTAGTTTGAAAGAATCTCAGGGACCCCTTGCGTCTGGTTTTTGAAGTAGTTGAAAAAATCTTGCAGATTCCTTGTCTTGTTTTTTCAGCATGTTATTTGAAAGAATCTCGGAGTTTTGTGATTTGGGAAAAATTTTAGACCAATGCCGGAAAAGTCGAAATTTTACTTGATTTAAAAATCTCTATATAAAATTTGTATTAAACAATGTCAACCTGTTATATCTAATAAACACATAAAAATAACTGTTCTGAAAAACGTTTACTCCCCATCGTGCGGAAGCGAATTATTCCGGTACAGGTAGCCTCGAGCCGTTCTAATTAAAGTCGACGTAAACCCGACGGTGGACTTTTTATTGAACATAGTCACCTGTGCTGACGCGCCATTAGCCTCGAACTTAATTTAGGGCATCGGCAAGAGCCCTAAAGAGAACCGTAAAGGAGAGGGTCTTCTCGTAATTCACTAATTGAAAGTTGTTATTGGCGTAATTGGCCCTCCCAGAACCCATCTTTAATAATCTGGCAGCCGATCGAGGGTCGAGACACCGGCAATTATTATTCTCTTCCGGAGCAGGTGGCGCGGCCGCGAAAACGCCGGATTACTCCGGGATGGCACTTGAAGAACAGGTGTTTGGCGGGTCCGGATTGCCGCGCTCATTTGCAATTTCCGGGGAGGAACGCGGATCGGACTAATTGGGGATAAATCAAGCGTAGGAGGGGCAATAAGCCGCAGAGACAATAGTCCGGCGTTAAAAATAGGAAACCTGAGTACGTTTTAAGTGATTTAGTGCTTTAGATAATTTTTGGAACGTACCTGCGCGGCGACGTGTCCGGCCTTCAGCCTGACCAGGTCCGTGTGGCTCCAGGCGCTGGTGGACCACGGGGAGACGTTCCGCAGATCCTCGTTGAACTTGAAGTTCTTCAGCTTGTTGTGGAGGAACTTGCGGATGTTCCACGGGAGGTCGTTATGACCGTCGATTAGAGGCACTTCTTGGAGCAATCGTGTGGCGAACTCCAAGCGTTCCTCGAAGGAGGCACTTGAGCTTATCTTTAAGGCGATAGGAACCCCGACCCCGGCCGCCGCCGCCAGCAGCAACACAGTCACGATTATCCACCAGTGGCGGGTCGAGAGCTCGATTCCTGCAAATAAAGCAACGCGTTCGTTAGCAAATCCAATTTACAAACGGAATTTTTACAGGTATAGAATTTCATAACGGGGGTAATTTGCGCCGCTGATAAAAAGACCATTACGCTGAGGGATGTTTTCCTTTCTCGTTTTTGATCGAAAATCCGGAGATACGTGGAGTGTACGCAGTAATGACTTACACTTGAGGAAGCTTTGTAACTTCGAGGCTGACCCTCCGGCCCATTCTAACCGCAGTAGGGAGCACGTCCATTATCCTGGTCGAAAAATAAGGAAAGCAAACACGAATTAACAATACCCGGAGGCTGGTTGATACATTCGTAATATTCCCAAACACCGGACCCTTGGTTAGGGATCGTTGCGAGCAAATATTCCCACAGATTGCAAACGAGATGGAGTTTTATTGATGGCGAATGGGACCGACCAGCAAGTGTCGGTGTCAAAATGCCGTTAATAATTGACGTTTATGATGTGTGGACAAACAGAACGCGGAGTCAATCAAATCGGACACGCACCGGGTTAATAAAACAGACGCTAATTAATGAGGTCTCGAATGAAACGAAGTCAAACCCTGGTGGATAGAAAAACATTTACGGCGTTAATTCGAAAAGTGGCCGCCACAATACTCCCTACCATAAAGTAAATGGAAGTTGCTGAACGATTTTTTGGTTTAGGTAGTTATTGTGTGAGAGTATGTCGTGCCTTAATTGCCTAATCGAACGCTTGCAGCTGCCGGTATTATTAATATCGAACCCAGCCACAGTTCCTGGGAGGCAACTCTAAATTCAAACTTAGCTTGTAATGATACCCTTGACCAAAACAGCGAGTTTATACCGTAATTCTACCCAAGCCGTATCTAAGAGACCTGTAATGTCGAAGATGTGGGACACATCTAGCATTACATAAATTACATACCGACAGTAATATTATTCCCGGACATAACCCATTATGGTCGATAATGCGGTGTTTACTATCCGTCAAGCTACTCTTCTTCGTGAAGGGTAGTAAACTTCAATTACTACTGTTTCACTAGCCTAAACAAATAACAAGAAAACAGACTCTTCGATCATAATTTATTTACGGTCGAGTTGAATTCATCCCACGTAGTCCGCAGCACGAGGATTTGTTAATTAATTATTCGAAAGCTCGATTATAAAATTCTTTTACTACCCATAAAAGTAGAAAGACACGCGTAAAACGAATAAGAACTTCAACTTTTTATTAGCTTTAAATTTCACAATTATCGTAAAATAAACTTAACTATTATCGCCCCCTATACGGATAATGAATAATAAAATTTACGCCGGTTAATTAATTAATACGTTTGTAGCGGAATTACTGGGCCCTGTATCGACTGAATTTTTGCTGCGCTACAAATCAAAAACCGCACTGAAATATTCACCGCGATGGCTATTGACTCGCGCTCATTAAATAAATTACGGTTTGGTCGACTGTGAGAATTGATTTGACGCGAACGAGGTGACGAGGCCGTGGAAATATAAATATACCTTCTTGAAAGGGGGACTGGACACGCATTAAAAATTTACACCCGCTGCACCTGCCATACGCACTAAAAACGAAATTAATTCTGCGGTTTTGGCGGGATTAATGTCACTGCTGTTTGAGCTACAGTCGCCTGGAAAATCCCGAAAATTCGGGAACATGTGTGCGCAGTCGTTTCGTTACATACATTGTCATTACTGATGGGCGATCTATTATGTGTGATGGCGAAGGGACAAATGTGTGGAAAATGGCATAGTGACGTGCGGTCGCCACAATACTCCCTGCTTAAAAGTAAAATAGTAAATGAGCATATGTTCTTAGCGCTTTCCGGGAAATCTCATTTTCGTTCATTGTGTCTCGTCTCGACATTAGTTTTTCATTTTTCTCCCTTCATGTTTCCGGGCTCCGGAATAACCCGATTCTGAGCTTAATTGGGCTAGCGCTCAAGACGAACAAGTGGACGTATCGTAATAAGTCCGTATTCCGCGTATAGCGCATATAAAGCGAGTTAATGAAGAGGAAAATTTCCCATTTGTTAGACGCCGAAAGCTTAAGCCCTCATAGGTACATAGTACTAAGCACACACATAAGACGTCTGAGTGTTTTTGTCTACGACTGTGTAATCATCTTACATTATTTATCAAACTAATTCGGGTACGTTTATTTCATTAATTAGTTTCAGTTAGTGAGGTTGTATCTTAACGCGAGGGCTCAATTCAAACTTCCCCTTTTCAGGGAGCCAGCGAGACTAGTTTAGTCATTGCTAAAGTTTGCCACCTATTAATTTGTAATCTACTTCACAACATTTAAGCCGGGAGAGGGAAAACGAGCGCCCGAGGAGTGATATTTTTCTTTTATTTACGCGTTGTGGTTTTCCGACTAAAAGTCAACACGACTTCCCACTCTGGCGTGGCCTGTTGATGCCCGGATTAAATGCTTCCGATTCCTATTCGAGACATATCTGGTTTGATTCCACTTTAAATTTGTTCGTGTTTTAGAGCGAAGTTACGCCGCCACTTAATCATCTCGGCACCAAAAAATCTCTCCCCCTACAAATTGGATAAAACTAATCACTGCCTTCCATCCATGTCTTCGGGGAGCCAATACAATTAAGTTATCGCGTAATCCAATATCTCGGCCCATATACCTTCCAGAAACGCCTTTTTAAGGCGGCAGCTCTGCGCCAAAATAAGCATCCCCAGGTTCTGCGTAGCTCGCGGCTCAATCTGGCGTGGTTTAAACCTTAGTTAATTTATAGGTTAAAATTCGGTCGCCGATTTTTGAGGTAAGCGTTGAGAGTCGTAATTTTTGTAAATGAAGTTGTAATTGGAAAGGCGTGGTGTGGTCAAGGGAGTCCAATTTCCACTAAATTGAATAAAACTAATCGCCCCATGTCCCGTGTCTTTGGGGATTTGATACTATTAAGTCGCCGCATAATCCAATATCCCGTACACTACAGGAAGTAGTTGTTTACAGTTCCTTCCTGGGTCCCGCCAGCACCCTCTAATCGGGCTGAGTTATTGAATGCCGCACCCCCTTCCTAACGCAATTAAAAAGTTGCGGCTTAATTGCTCACGAAACGTCGCCGTCCAGCGAAAAAAGCCCCTGTCATCTGAAAATCAGCCTTAAATCAAGGACGTCATCGGGCGGAAAATTATGGTGGCGCTTATTAAATATTTAGCGTTTTTTTCGGGCAGAGCGGAAATAATTTTGATTAAAAGTAATAATGGGATTACGGGATTTGGCGGGTGAAATATGGCGATAAAAAATTCAAAAGCGCAGCCGCAATTTTGGAAATCTTGTCGCCGCAAATCCGAAGACAAAAGGTCTGATCTCCCGATTGAATCACGTCAACGAGGCCATAAGATCCGCCATTCCGAAATGAAATACAACGTGCCCGTGCTAAAACGGAGACGAACACGATGAATCCCAAAGCTGAAATTAACCCAGACAATATTAACATATTTTATGGTCTGCCGGATTAATCCGGCTTTGGGTTTTCGGCCCAAATTACAAGACACGGAATATTTTAAATTCATTAAGGGGCTAATCTCGCCCGAAAAAATACACAACAAGACATAAACCGTGCATTAACGGACGCCATTCTGCGTCTGAGGCTGGGGGCGAACGTGTTCATGATGTAACACCTTTATTACATCACGACCCATTCGGGGTTAGTTTATAGTGAACGGGGCTTTAGCCTCCGCCAGCACATGCAAATGTCGCCCATAATTCCGGCGAGTCGATATCTGTGTCTGGGGACGTACCTCAGGAAAAGGGACCGTAATTGCCCTTGTTAATATACATGCGCCGGTATGCAACCAGCAATTCACCGAAGAGAGCTCGGGGCTTCCACTGATTGACCGACCGGTGAGTGTGGACATGTTATGTAATCAACAATCCAGAACGTCAGCGCTAAAGGCCTAATAGATCCATGATTTGTTTTACTATCTTCTGCCATTGCTTGCTACTGTGTGTTTTTTGTCTCCAGTCGGTTACTACTATCTTCTTTAGGTCTTCTACGTCTTTCTTCTATCCCAGTTTTGGTCTTCCTTTTCTTCTGTTTCCAATTACGGTGTATTTGTAGGTGCTTGTGTTTTCTTTCTTCTTTTTCTTCTTCTCCCGCTTGGTGGTTCTTCATCTCTTCTATTACGTTCTACTCTTTCTTCTTAAGTTTTGATGTTCTGTGTTCTTTCCTCCATGCTTCAACAACATGTTATGGTACGGTTTGTATACTGTTCTAAAATTCCAAAATTTCTGTTTTTACTAACAAAAACAGGTGCAGTATCTACTTATTTTGCGAAAAGGAGACGATTGGGTTAATGTTCCACATTCTAGAGTTTGTAGATCGAAGAAATTGGTTAAAAAACTTCAGAAATATCACTTTTCAAGCTTTTTTCAGTGTGAAAACATCGACGTTTCAAGATTCCTAGACTACGAAAAAAGTATTCTCCCGTTTCCGTCTGTCTGTCCTGTCTGTCTGTCTGTCTGCCTGGTGTCTGTCTGCCTGTATCCATTTTTATTAGACACGTAAACTCCGAAACTATATACATGTAATAATACCATGTAGATGGTTAAATGCTAACCAAAATTTTGCTAATTGTCCGCACCAACAATTTGATGAAGTCATTTCAACAAATAATCCTAATAGTGTGGTGTATGAATCCGCTTTGAGTTTTTCCCTAACAGTCCAAGTGTTTGAAAAAATATTATGCCCGGTATAATAATAGTTTACCATTAGCGTAAGGCATCCCGGTCGTGGTCTAGTGGTTATGAGTCAGGTATGCAGACCGGACGTCACGCGTTCGATTCCAAACTTGGCCGTTCGTTTTTTTTTCTTTTTTTCTTTACCCCACTTTCTCGAAAAAGTGAGAATACGCCCCTCTTTATTTAAAAATGTAAAACCTTCTCGGGGGCGCCAAATGTCTTTTTAAGATTCTGAAACTTTCTCGGGGCGCTCAAATCTTCTTTTTTAAAGAAGGCGAAACCTTGT